TCGCTTCACTTATCACGACCCGCTCAACTCGCCCAATCGTTTCGACAACAATAAACTAAATTTTCTCATCAAGCCCGCCTGAGGCTGGCCCCAATAAGTGGAGGGACTAACTGTATGAGTCAAAATCCACTAAGAGAATATTCAGGTTAAGATGATATTAAGGGAGGAGTCCTCAAATCGTCATTTATTAGAATAGCCCAAGAAGTCGCACAACCTTTGGTCGAGGAGTCAATGAGAGCCGTAGTCAAGGCATCAATGAGGATCAAGGTCGAGTACCAACGAGAGAGCTGTAATGGCTAGTTTTCAAGATAGGATCTTAAAAAATATATTCTAGTAGATATTCTCTTTATTTGTACTAATAGAATTTCTTTTGGGAATGTGTCCCATATAAATAAAAAACGAAACAATGGTAGTAAAAACAACAACAACAACAACAACAACAATCCAGTAAAAGTTCACTAAGTGGGGTCTGGGGAGGGTAGTGTGTACGCAAACCTTACCCCTACCCCGATAGGGCAGAGAGGCTATTTCCGATAGACCATTGGCACAGGAAGATGAAAATAAAATAAGAAAAGACAATTCATCAGTATTGTCAACATAACCATAGAAATAAAGACAGCATCCTAAAAACCATAAAATAGATGACATGCTATAACAATAACTCGCAACTAAGATCCAGAGCTATGGAAAACAGTAAGGTTAGTGTGAACTCTACATTAACCACAAGGCGTCTAGGACCAACTTACTCAAACTTGCTTCACCCCCGAAATGGAGAAGGAGAAGCTCGACTACCACTCTATTCTACAACCCTAATGCTCGACCTCCAGACCTTCTTATCAAGGGTCATGTCCTCGGAAATCTACAATCGTGCCATGTCCTGCCTGATCACCTCTCCCCAATACTTCTTAGGCTGGCCTCTACCTCTTTTCGTACCCACTAAAGCCAACAACTCACACCTCCTCACCGGAGCATCCAGTCTTTTCCTCCGCACATGCCCGAACCATCTGAGCCTCGCTTCCTGCATCTTATTATCCACAGAGGCCACACCCACCATCTCCCGAATATCTTCATTCCTAATCTTTATCTATCCTTGTGTGCCCACACATCCACCTCAACATCCTCATCTCAGCTACCTTCATCTTCTGTATATTAGAGTTCTTAACTGGCTAACACTCTGCCCCATACAACATGACCGGTCTAACCACCGCCCTATAAAACTTACCTTTGAGTACCGGTGACACTTTCTTGTCACATAAGACTCCAGATGCTAGACTCCATTTCGTCCACCCCACTCCTATGCGGTGAGTGACGTCCTCGTTGATCTCTCCACCCCCTTGAATAATCGACCCAAGATACTTGAAACTACCTCTCTTGGGGATGACCTGTGATCCAAGCCTACTTCCCTCAATTCGGCGCTGAACTTGCACTCCAGGTACTCTGTCTTAGTCCTGCTCAATTTGAAACCTTTAGACCCGATAGCCTGTCTCCAAACCTCCAACCTCTCGTTAACACCGTCCCGTGTCTCATGAATCAGGACTATGTCATCAGCGAATAACATACACCATGGAACTTCCACTTGAATATGGTATGTTAGTGCATCAATTACTAAGGCAAATAAGAACGGGCTAAGCGCAGATCCTTGGTGTAACCCCATAACAACGGGGAAATGCTCCGAGTCGCCTCTCACAGTCCTTACCCTAGTCTTAGCTCCATCATACATGTCCTTGAACGCTCTAACATAAGCTATCGGGCACACCTTTTACCTCCAGACATCTCTATAGCACCTCCCTAGGGACCTTGTCATACGCTTTCTCCAATTCAATAAACACCATGTGCAGATTTTTGTAAGAAAGGCATTTTGACAAAATGATTCGATCTTCACTCAATACAAAGATCTACTTTTCACTGAAATTCTTATCGACACTTTACCATCAGATTCAAAAAATCCTCGATTGTTCAAGATTTTGTTTGTCAATCATTGTTAGGTGGAAGGTTCATTTATTCCACCCTTTATTGATTGAATCATTTCCCTTATCTACTTAAATGCCATTTATTATTATTCATTGTATATTATGCTACATTGATCTTGATATTGCAAAGCATCTAACACGCGGTGCCAGTGCCATCCGCATAAATGCTTAACAATTGCTTTTTCTAACATTAAGGGGTCGTTTGGTAAGATGCATTAGATAAGCTAATGTATGCATTGGCTTTTGTGTATTAATAATACATTGTTTGGTAGACATTTTGAACCTATGCATTAGCTATGCAAGCATTAGTTATACATCCTATTTGGTATTATCCTATGCATAACTAATGCATAAAAATAATGGTATTAGCAATGCAATGCGTTTTAATGCATGCATTAGCTTAATTAAAGACAAAATTATCCTTCAAAATTTATGCTTGATTAAAATATGGTAGTTAGTATATTAATACAAGTTCAAAATAATCCAAATAGTGAGAAATAAAATTATATCCCTAGTAAATAAATAAATACTTAACATATCTTTTTTTATAAATAAATATTTAATTTTATTTTACAATATAGGTAGATAAGTAAAATATTTTTTAAAAAAAAGTTAGAGTGGATTAGTTTTGAGGACATTTTTGTAAACAAACAATTCTTTTAAAAATTGTACAATGCTTGAATACATCAAATCAAACAATGGATAAGAAATATGTCAGCATAACTAATACCAACATTACTAATATACCCTATTCAACATTTATTTTTATGCACCTTACCAAACGTCCCAATTATTATTAACTGGGATTAACCTTTGGTCCATATAAATTAAATTATTTGAACTAAAATTTATATTTTTGATCAAACAGCCATAGCAACCACGTCTAAGAGAAGCAATAGATTAGACGATACGAACCAAATCGAGACTTCAACGACAATTCAAGGCAAATACTTCGCGAAGAGATCAAAAGTTCAGATGAGTTGCTCAAATCTTGAATAATCTAATTAGAAGCTACAACATAATAAAAAAACTTTTAAGCTTTGGCAGCATTAGCATCATCTTTTCCCAACTCAACGGGAGGGATGTGACGATCAAAAGGAAGCTTGATGCGGCCAATGGAACGTTGAGGGACAAGCTTCACATTCTCACAATTGCATATCTCAATCATGTGTCCATCTGGGTCCTTAAAGAAGAGTTGATCAATAGCTGCTCCTTCTTCCTCTCCTACCGTTCTCTTTAAATACTTTATGTTCAACTGCTTCAGCCTTTCCACCATACCCTCCATGTCTTCGCTCTGCGCATAAAACCACAACTTAGTACTCCTCCCTCTTGTCTACACTAAGTGACCATTTTACCTTTTTATTTTGGTCCAAAATAACTGTCCATTTACGTAATCAAGAAGGAATTAATTTTATATTTCCAAAATTTGCCCTTATTTACATATTCCAATGTGTCAGGTAAAATTTGTTCTTATTTAACGGGCATGACAAAGGTAAAATAAACACGTACTGTGGACAGCTGGGAATACTAATGAACGAATATTACATTCTTGTGCATTTTTTTCCTTCATTCCAATTTATGTGCCCAAATTGTATTGCAGACCAATATATATCGACAATGTTTGGTACAAAATGTGGGCTTCCTATCACTAGAATAAGATAAAGTCGGGGCATAAACTCCTCGGAGGATGGAATAGAAATGATAAGCACTTTTAAAGATTTTATAAATAAAAAGTACATGTTATGCATGTGATCGAAAAATGGCTTGATACAGTTTGATTTCGAAATGAAAGTGAATTCAAACGTAAAATCTCCCATCTCACTCAAAAAAGAAAGAAACATTTCGATTTTGAATTTTGACGGTAAATACAAATATAGAATCTTTTAAGTTTTATAAAGTAAAATTTAAATATTTAAAAGACTAATATAAGTCACAGTAATTAAATTAGTAACTTTAAATATTTAACAGCCATATAAAAAAATCAAAAAGTAAAGAAGAATCTTCAAATCGAAAATGTATTTTGGGAATGAGGAATAAAACACACCCTAATTTAAGATATTGCCACAAAGTGAGACTATAAACAAAGTAGTAATGACTACCAAAAATAACCGCGAAGGGAATGAATAAAATCTTGAAACGGTAAGCGGGTGAAACCTGAAAAGAAATATGGTTGTCCATAGGGTCGAGGGTATCAGTATTATTAGGCAATCTATCTTCTTCCTTAGCTTGAACCAGATGAATCCCAACGCCATAGTTAAACAACCAAGCTCCATTAAAATCAAAAGCTTGCGGCCTCTCAATCAATACAAACCCAAGAACTTTAGTGTAGAAATCTTCTGATTCTTTCACATTCTTGCAAAGTCTCGAGACGTGGTTCAACGCCATTAGTGGAATCTCATTCTGCTGTTCATCAGTAGTACTCTTCTCGTGCTTTTGTTCTCTTTCTTCTTGATTTGTTACTTCTCCCTTGACATAGCCATGTTTCCTTTCTTCTTGGCTCTGCATTTTGGTGGGGTGAACAAAGTATTGAGAAATGAAGGAAATACTGAAAGTAACGATAAGTAAAAGATGTAGGCTGAAATTAAGCTCTTAATTGGAGCTCTAGCAATGGCGGTAGGAGAATTTTTGGGTGGTGACACGTTACTGTTTTTCTGCATGAGAGCGGTGTACGTGTGAGAAAATGAAGCAGCAGAGGCCAGGGGTGATGTGTGTTTGCTAGGCCTAGGTTACTTAAAACGGTTGATTTTAATAACGTCGTTATTGGTGTTGTCTAGAGATTGCAACATGGGCAAAAAGTTTATTCGACTCCATCGACTACAAGAAATAAGGGCTATGGCCACATTTATGGTGTCATTTATAATAAATGTCAGAAATTAATTATTTTTGTGACATTTATTAAAAACGGTTGCTAACATAATGACATTTGATAACAAATGTGAAAAAATAATGACATTTTGATTTAAATATTGCAATATTAATAAGCAATTACCGACAATTACAATTAAAGAAGGAAACTTTAACCTAATGTCTAACTTTTAAATACGTGAAACGAAACAAATTAGACCCACAACGGCGGCTCCCGTGATATAATTCTTCTAGGTCTCCTTCACTCTGCTCCCATCGTTGAGTTCTTGCTAGCCTTTGGAATCCTCTGCTAATGGTGCCTTATCCGTCGATTGTTTCTTTTCTGCCTTTGATACTGTCGTAGACAAGAAGGATTGAGAAAGCAAAGTTGCGACTTGGGACGAGAAGGCTACAGACGATATATTATTTAAAATTAAGATAAGATTTCCTTCTGAAGTTTGATGTCTCCACTGATTCGAATATGAAGTCTTTCGATCTCTCTTTCTCTGCTACATTTAGGTATCATCGTGATTAATTATTCACACATCTTTGTTCATTGATAATCATACAATTAAGTTTAGTTATTTTAAGGTTTATATAGTGTGTAGCTTTGATGATATTATTTGCCTGCAAAATTGGTGCTTTCTTGAAATATTTGCGTTTACGCAGCGCTTTCATTTGTTCTTTAGTTTGGAGTGCTTGAGGGGAAGGTAAAGATATTTTTTGGGGGGTTTTCTAAGCAAATTTTATTTTGTTTTTGATAAAGCATTCAATTAATTTTGTTTGATTTTCCATCTTGCTTTAGAGTAAGAAATTTATTGTCTAACTCTAATTAGAGTAATGAATGTTGTCAAGTTTTTCATCTAAAGATACTCAAATGGTTGATTGTTGGCTCATATGTCTATTCCAATGTAAAGATTAATCATTGGCGTCACTATCTTGGTGGGAGGAATGTGGAAATGAGGTAATTCTTATTTCAATTCTGACACTGGTTTCAAATAGGATACAAATATTCAGTGATCTTAGTTGGCATTTGGCAAGCTGATGAAACAAAGAGTTTTGCTTGATAGTGGAGTTTGGATGAAACTGGCTATGCATGTGTCTTTAGTTTTACCTCTATTTGATCTTGTTCTAAAAAAGCTATATTTTTAAGTTTTCTTTTGTATTTTTTGTTTACTTATATATGATATATCAAGTATGTCTCGCTCAAATGAGTTATGTTTCTCGCAGGGTTACATTTAGATTGTGCTGGTTATGGAGCTCAATTTAGAGGTATGCAAGTTTTGGTTTATTTCTTGTACAGTAAACTTCTGCTGACTGATTAAAATGCTCCTTAACAGTGGTTGCTGAGGTTAGGATTGTTGATTCCAATATCACCAAATTCAATACTCCACCAACTTTTACCGACTTGTTAAACATTTGAATTGTTGTGTATCTCTGTGTCAAATTCATGATAATGTTGTTATTCTCCTTGATTTCTTATAAGCCAAATAGTATGTAATTGATTGTTGCAGTCTTTGTAAGTTAGTTTTATTTGTTATAATTTTTGGATTAGGAGATACTTTACTCAGAAAGATAATTATTGGGCTATAATAACATACAACTACTTAAACGAATAGCTGCTATCTTTGATTAAATCCTACTGCATAGTTTATAGAGTTGCCTAATATCCTTTCTGTTCTCTTTCAGGGAATTTATTACTTAAAGTTGGAATTCTGCAATAATTAGTGGTATTAGCCATTATTTGATCATCACCTTGGACAATCTTTTTCTAGCAAGTCAGGAGATTATCAAATGAGTAGGCACTCAAACGACATGGGGAGGAAGCTCCTAAAAGAAAGTAGCAAAAGGAGTGGAAACAGAGCCGAAGAAGTGAAAATATCTCTTGTCCCAATATTAGTTTGAATCCAACAATGTTTAATTGTAAAGATGTATAGCTATTCACAATTTTATTCTTGTATAGGGATCTTATGTTTGCAAATATTTTATTTTTGTTTAAATTGTCTATAGTGAATGACATTTGTAAGTACAATTTGAACTTTGATGGTTATATTTTCCTGTTAATAAAATAAAATTTTAGTTTCTACATTAAAATGCCAATGAGTAATTTAATTTTGACATTAAAGGATATGCTACAGAAGTGTCATTAGTCACTCAAATTTCCCGACACTTCTAAATGTCATAAACTAAGCTACAAACTATTTATTTACTAACAATATATTAAATGTCAGAAATTTAAAGTGACATTTCAAAAAGAGTCATGAAATAAATGTCGTTAATTATTTACCGACATTAATATAAATGTCAGAAATTTCCCGACATTGAAATTTACGACATTTGACCTAAGTGTAAAATAAATGTCGGTAAGTAAATTTATGACATTTATGGCACTTAATGCGATATTTATTAAATGTCATCGTAGCCCTTATTTCTTGTAGGATATCCTAGGCATTCTTCGTACTTGTTTGTGTCCAAATTTGGACAACCACGGCTATCGACGAACATGATAAAAGACGAGATCTTCATAGCTCGACGTTCCGTGGAGGACGATAGGCAACGAACAGAGGACGTATAACTTTTACAGTAGTGTAGGCCCAACAGGGGGACACTAGGAATATACTTTCGAATATTCCGTATAATATGTCTTTGAGGGTTCAGGAGGGGATTGTCTCTTATATATAGGGGTGACTTTTTGGCTTTTCTGGGCAGGAACACTGATTGCAATACCTTTCTACATAAAAGATTGGCATTCTCTACGTTCGATCACTTATTTTCGCAAGATCAAGAAACATTATCCATTGTGTTCATCTTTTATACCTTTTGTTCTAGAGTTTATTATACTTAGCTAAGATTTACCCCTTCATTCTCTTTAATTGATTTATTCAAAAAGGTTCCAATATCTTTTGAGTCAAACAATTTCGCACCATTTATGGGGATTTCTTTAGCTGAGATTTTAGTTTCGTCTAGATCCTTGAAAGGGATAATCACCTCTTCTTAGTCTCGCAAAGACCAACAATGGCAGGAAAGGGGGAAGCAAAATTAAAGGCAATAGTAGGTGCCACGAACAACCTTCTGGATTCCATCAACGAAGTCGGCAGGGAAGATAATGAAAACGCAATGCCAAGCGCTACACCTGAGGGAGATACCTCACCCCCCGCATGAAAGCTTGACTGTCTCACGCGAGAGGGAAACCTCAACATCCGCAGCATGAGAAGCACCACCGGCTGTGAAAAGGCTATTAGAAGAGTGGTTGACAAACACCTTGAGCAACACACTCGACAAACCCATTCAAAGGGATATCGTAGGCACAATACATGCAGAAACTGCAACTGTCGCCGATGAGCCAGAAACTCCACACACAAGTAACACTCATACTGTCATTGATGCAGGTAACGATGCACTTGCTGCCATCTTAAAGAAAATGGAAGAAATGGAAAATGAGAACAAAACACTCCGTGATCAGATGAAGGAGCATCAAGAAAGGGTCGATAAAATACCCGGCACTCCGAAGTTGCTACCAAAATGGGACGTAGGCCGATTCGTCGAGCAACCATACAATGAAGGGGAAACCCCCCCACTCTATTCCAAAAACTTTCAAAATGCCGCCATACTTGAAAATATATGATGGCACCACGGACCCGGAAGATCACATAATCCACTGCGTCACGACAGTAAAAAGTAACTATCTATCGAAAGAACAGGTGTGATCGGTGCTACTGAAAAAATTCGGCGAAACCCTGACAGGGGGAACACTGACATGGTATTCCCAACTACCGGCACGGTCATTATCAATGTTCGAAAAAATGGCAGATACATTCGTCATCGCTCATGCAGGAGCGAAAAAGGAAGAAGCCAGGGTAAATGACATTTTCGCCATTAGGCATACGACAGGCGAAGGACTTAGCAATTTCCTAGCCCGATTCAACAGGGTAAGAATGAGCCTACCGAACGTATCAGAGGGGATGACGGTAGCAACCTTCCAAAATGGGTTAAATAAAAGCGGGTCGAAAGCAACCAAAAAACTGCTAAGTAGACTCATGAAATACCCTCCCGCCACGTGGGAAGAAATCCATAATGCCTATTATGCCGAAGTAAAGGCAGATGAGGACGACCTAAATGGTCCGATACAACGGCTAACATCGGTCCAAACCGAAACAAGGAGAGATCGCCGCAGCGATGGTTGAAGGGATCAACTATCCCGTTTCAATCGAGAAAGGCATCAGCCCTACATCCGGACATCCATCCCGCCTCCTCCACGACATGCATATGTCACGCCTCGACACACCGTGCCACACCGAAACGAAAGAGGTTTGCCTCTACTGTTATCTGCGCATAACCTTTGCGTTTCTCCTTCAGAAATAGTATATGTACTAGAAAAGCTCGGCACAAAGGTGCAGTGGCCACAAAAGATGAAGTCAGATCCGAGCACCCAGAGATCGAATGTTCTGTGTGAATTCCATTAGGAAAGAGGACATAAGACTGAAGACTGCATAGGTCTACGATAGGAAGTGGTAAGAATGCTAAACCAGGGATACTTGAAAGAACTTCTGAGCGATCGAGGACGGGTTAACTTCGCTCGTGGATGCGATCAACCTCAAGGACCCCCAAAAACTGCCTTCACCAGCTCGTACCATACAAATGATCATTAGCGGTGGTGATAATACGGTAATCAACTATGTAAAATTCACCACCACATACAAACTCAAGCGGACAATCGCTCACGAACGGTATGATGACCTCGAAGATAGTATCATCTTCGATAAGTCAGATACCAATGGGTTGTCTTTCCCTCACTATTATGCTTTGGTTATAATTTTGCGTATTGCGGATATCGATGTAAAAAGAATAATGGTGGATGACGGAAGCAGCGCATGTATTATTCACCTGCGAGTCCTCATACAGATGAGACTCGAGGATAAGATAGTGTCGCGCTACATAACACTAATGGGTTTTAATAATGTAGTAGAACGAACCTTTGGAGAGATAGTGCTGCCCGTTCTGGCAGGAGGAGTCACTCTAGAAAAGACGTTTCAAGTCATGAACTAGGAAACAACCTACAACGCTATCATAGGGCGTCCATGGATACACGCCATGTGAGCCGTCCCATCAAGTTTCTATCAAGTAATCAAATTTCCTACCCCATGGGGAATATTCAGCATCTGGGGCGTGCAACACACCGCCCAAGAATGCTACCGAATCGCCCAAGATTGCACACGCACCCAACAACTAAAGGGGCAAGTGCGGAAGCATAACAATCAGCTATATCGGGAACCAAATCCGACATACAAATAGAGGCCATCAAAGACCCAGATGTCATAGAAGCCTGCAAGGGAACTGTAGAAGACCTCGACCCTGTTCAATTGGACAACATCGACAGCACGAAAAAAGCTTATATCGGGCACAACCTCTCAGAACCAGGTAAGTTCCATGAGTTCTTAACTAATAATGCCGATTTGTTTTCCTTTTCCCATTCCAATATGCCGAGAATCCCAAGGGACATTGCCATACACATACTGAATGTCGACCCTCTTTACCCGCCTGTGCGGCAAATGAGGAGAAAGTTCAACGCCGCAATCAACGACGCAGTCAACGAAGAAGTCGATGAGTTGCTCGCTAATGATTCCGTCCGAGAATCAAAGTATCCTCAATGGGTCGCCAATGTGGTCATGGTAAAAAAGAAGAACGGGAAGTGGCAGATGTGTGTTGACTTCACCGAACTGAACAAAGCATGCCCAAAGATTCCTTTCCATTATCACACATCGACCAACTCATCGATGCAACGACATGGCACGAACTATTAAGCGTCTTAGACGCCTATTCTGGTTACAACCAAATTCTAATGGTGGAAGAAGACCAAGAAAAGACCACTTTTATCACTCACCAAGGAACATACTACTACAAAGTCATGCCGTTTAGACTTAAGAATGTAGGGGCGACGTACCAAAGGTTAGTCACCAAAATGTTCAAAGAACAACTCGGCAAGACTAGGGAGGTCAACATCGACGACATGCTAGTGAAGTCATAAAGGAAGGAAGATCACATTGGTCATCTGAAGGAAGCCTTCAAAATATTGAGGCAATACAGAATGAAACTGAATCCCGATAAGTGCGCCTTTGGCGTAACCTCAAGTAAGTTACTCAGTTTTTTGGTGTCGCAAAGGGGTATCTAGGTCAACCCGGATCAGATCAAGGCCATCGAAGGAATACCAGAGACATTAACCAGCAAAAAGCAGGTACAGAAATTAACAGGACGAATAGCCGCCCTATCGAGGTTCATCTCACGATCATCGCACAGGTGCCATAAATTTTTCAACGTACTAAGGAAAGATCACAATACAGTGGAATTCAGAATGCGTCGACGCCTTAAGAAAACTAAAAGTGTACTTGTCCTCCCCGCCACTACTTGTCAAGGCAGACCTTGGCAAATGCCTCCTGGTGTACCTAGCAGTCTCCGAAATCACGGTAAGTGTAGTTTTGGTCTGCGAAAATAAAGGTACGCAATCTCCAATTTATTATATCAGCAAAACCTTAATTGATGCCGAAAAAAGGTATCCCAACCTTGAGAAATTAGCTCTGGCGTTAGTCATAGCTTCACGAAAGCTTAGACCATATTTTCAATGTCACCCCATAAAGGTGGTGACGACCTTTCCCCTTAGGGGCATCCTACACAAACCCGAACTATCAGGTAGGTTGGACAAATGGGCCATAAAATTAAGCGAGTATGATATAACATATCAACCGTGAACTGCTATAAAGTCGCAAGTCCTCGCCGATTTCAGTGCGGAAATATTTCTTGAAGTAGGTAGGAGGCGCTTCGCGCTTCCGCACATTCCGACCTCTAGGTCCTATACACCGACGACGCATCTAATGCATCGAGATCGGGAATGGGACTCATCCTCGAAGTCCCTACAGATGAAGTAATTCGCCGATCCATACAGTGCCCCGAGATGACTAACAACGAGGCCGAGTATGAAGCTATGATTGCATGATTGAAATTAGCCCTCAAATATGGTGCTCGACGACTCGTCCTCCATTGCGA